GTTTGGATAAAATAATTAGAAAGAAATTCAAATATAATTTTTTATGAAAAATATTTCAAATGAATAAAATAGAATAATTTCAACTCTAAAAAATATAAGAAATTTGAAATTTCATTCATGTTCACTCCACTAACAAAGGTTGAATTGAGTTGGTCCATAATAAAAGTTGACTCGAGTTGATTGAGTCGGTGGTCAATCCGAGTCACTCCAGATCGATAGTCGAGACTTAACTCGAGCTTAAATATGAAGTTGAGTTTGCCTTAAAAGAGTAATTGAACTGCTTGATTCAAACATGAAAACTAAAATATAAGATATTTCAATTATTCTATCTAAACAACTATTTGAGAAATTAAGAGAATTCAGTTGTAAATAACTCAAATACTATGGATTTCAATTTCTTGGAATTGTTGAAATGTCTTATCTAAGCACAATATTCGGATTTTGTTTATGTTGTGTTTAGATGAGGTAACTTAGAAGGAAATTTATTTATTTGAAGATTTTAAAGTTCTTTATACTAAAATGACTTGTTTGGATAAAAAAATTTAGAAAGAAATTCAAATTTAAGAAATTTTAGAAGGTATTTCAAATTAATAAAATATAATAATTTCAAAGACCTTCAAAAATATAAGAAATTTGATATTTTGCTCTTTTTTACTCCATTCATAAAGGTCAATCCGAGTCGACTTAGGATGAAGGCTCAGTCAAGTCAACTAAGGTCGAAAGTTGAGTTGAGTCAACCCAGGATTCAGACTCAATCGAGTCAATCTAGGATGAAATCTCAGTCGAGTCAACCCAGGCTAAAGGCTTAGTCAAGTCACCTTGGACTAAAGGTTCAATCAAGTTTGTTAGGATCGAAGGTCGAGTTGGGTCATCCTAGACCAAAGGTTGACTCAAGTCGAGGTTGAGCTAGGTCGACCTAGGTCGCAGGTCGAGTTGAGTCGATTCGAACTAAAGATAGAGCTGAGTCGATTAGGATCAGAGACTGAACTAGGTTTGCTTGGACCAAATGTTGAATCAATTCGGGTCAGACCAAAGATGGAGCTAAGTTGAATCTACTAGAATCAAATTAAATCTATTAGAGTTACTTTGAACTAAAAATCAAGACGAGTTGTCCTGAATTGAAAATCAAATTAATTCAACTATGACTAAAAAATAAAATTAAATTTGCGTTAACATAAAAATTAAATTGTTTTATTCAAACATTGAAATATAAGGTATTTTAATTAATTTATCCAAACAAATTATTTAAATAAATAAAAGAAAATTTAATTGTAAGTAATTCAAATCTATTTATTTTAATTTCTTGAAATTATTAATATCTATGGAATATGTGGTTAATAATATCTATGCGACTAGGAGGGCTAACAATTAACATGTCAGTTCCATCATGAGTGCTGCTCCATCCATCAAGGACTGTTCATTCAGCACCTACTTAGTAAGATGTGGAATGACTTTTGATTTTTATGACTTTACTTAAAATAATTTACCTTTACAATGTGTACATGTCATGTTTTATCCATGAAGTTATTTTATGCTTCTTTCTGCAATCAAATGGTCTTAAAAGTGCTAAGTATTAAGCAAATTACTAGCTAGTGACAACCTTGAGGATTAAAAGTACAAGTATTTACCAAATAAATTAAAAAAAATTAAAATTTAAAAATAAATTAATTTTAAATCTGACTTATTAATAACTCAACTTATCCAAATTAAACATGTGAGTTATATCGGAGACTTGCATAAAATTATTTATTAACAATAATTAGACAACAAAAAAATCTATACAAAAATATTGTGATATACGTGTGAATAAAATATTATATTTGATTGATAATAAATTTAACTTAAAGACCATTTCTTTTTATTTATATTTAAATTAAAAAAAATTGTTATATTTTTTAATTAAAAAAATTATAATTAAATGAACTAAACTAACCTATTTAATTTCTTAATTCATGATAAATCAAATCAAATTTAAATTTTTTCAAATTATTAATAAATAAGTGAAATTAGATTTGCTAAATAGTAACTCCATACTAAATAGTCACTCCAAGATAAACTGAAACGTTCATACCCGGTTATAACCCAATGGTTCAATTTGACAGCAAAGTTTCAAAGAATTGTTTTGCACCATGGGATAAGAAGATTGCTGGAAAGCTGTCATAGTGTTAGAGTTTATTTTGAGTATAAGAACTTTTAAAAGAAAAAACTAAAGAAAAATCAAAACTAACTTTTTAGTTAAAATTGACTTCTTTTTTATTAACTATAATTTAGCATATACATAAATTAATTTGAAAAAAGTTATATGATATATCTTATCTAAATTTCTCTCCGTTTTAAATTATATATAAGCTGATTTTAAATTATCCCTATGGAAAAAATCAAAAGTTTATTATGAGGCGTATGACCTAATCCCAGCATAATCAATAGGAGGCTAAGCAGAAACATAAACTTGACATAAGTTGAAATACATAAAAAAATTTAAATTCCTTCTAATGCAAACATTAACTCCAGCAAATCTCTAACCAGTTCTGAAATATGTGCAACACGCCATGATCGAAAGTGAAATTTGCTATGGCCAAATTACAAACAAAAATCTTCAGTGAAAAAGAAATCCTAAATCCAAAATTTCCAAAATTGATAGCTAATGAATCCAAGATATCCAAAGTCATTATGAAGCAGTCAATCAATCAGTCCCTAAAGAAAATAAAAAGAAAAAGAATGAAAATAGGTCTAACCCAACTTCTCCTAAAGAGGAAAATATGTGCTTGAAGTAATTACAGCTTATAGTACTCAAATTGCATAATCACATTACTAAAGAGGCTTTACAAGGATATATCGAATTAAAAATGAACCATTTGCTCACAATTTTGCTCGTAATTCCACAGCAACAGAAAATCTAGAACCCAGTCACTAGCTTCTTCTCCCTTCTTTTACCTTCTTCTACCTGCATTCAAACAATTCAAGCAAGGTGTTCATATTTTAATCTACAAAACCAGCATCATCAACTGAATTAAACATAAGGGAAAAAAAAGTGATCCTCAAACTAAAAAAACTCATCATTTAAGAATACAAGCCTGAAAAAATAATACCTTGGATAAATCTCAATGGTTTTCCAGTGCCACCTACAAAATATTGGTAGAGGCAACATCAACTATCCTAGTCTATCAACTCCTCTATCGATTCAATAATTTGCCATCATTATTTCCATTTTTGATGATAGGACGAGGCAAGAGTGGCACCTCAGAAGGTACCTTAACATTAACCTTACCCTGTCCTGTGAAACTATTTAACTCCTCTTTTTTACACACAACATTATTATGATGTGTTCCCAAATTCCTGGCATTAGAAACCTCAAGGGTGCCCTCGAGGCCCAGACGCTTAATCTTGTCAAGAATGGAGCAATGGTCGAGAGAGTCCCGAGCCCTCTTTCTTGCAAGGGCGGCCTCGCGGACGCTTCGCTCAACTCGAGTCCGGGCGAGGGCGAGAGACTTGGAGGCAGCGGCGGAGGCGATCTTACAGGCGCAGAGGAAGATGAGAGCACGGCGTTTGTCCAGAGAAGAGGTGGAATCGGGAAAAAAAGAGAAGTTTGGTTGAGAGCAAGGTGGACAGAGGAAAGGGGAGGAAGGGGAAGGGGAAGGGAGACAGTCGAGGTGAGTGAGTGAGGAGCATTTAGTGCAGGACAGGAAACGGTGAGCAGGGGCGGAGGTATTAGAGAGAGGGTGGTCGAAGAATTGGAAGCAAGAGGAGCAGAAGGAGGAGGGGTGGAGGAGGAGGACGCAGGAGGTGCAGACGCGGCGGCTCATGCCCCGAATCCAGAGACGGTGGGAGAGACGGCTGTCCTTAGAGGCACAGTGAGCGCATTCAGGATTGAGGACAGTGTCCAGAGGCGGTTGAGTGGGTTTAGTCGGAGAAAGGTTCATGACAATGGCTATTGGTTTTGAAACTAGGGTTTTAGGGTTTTGGATGAGGAGGATGGGGAGGAGATGAGAAAAGAAGAAAACTAAATTCATTTGATATTTTTATTATCTAGGCTATGGTAACTGAAAGTTTTCATTTTTAGGAAAATGATATTTTTTACATCATTTGATTTAAGTATAAAATAGTTATTAAAAAAATAAACTTTTAGTTATAATTATATAAAAAGAAAATTGTATTTAATAACTGCTTCATAATCATTTGATACATCTCAATATCAATTTTATTCTTATTACTATTGTATCTATTCTTTTGTAATTAACTATTAAAAATATATTTTTTACAAATTTAATAACATTTATATTTTAATAATAACTAAAATAATTAATTTTTTTTATAATCATGTACATACATGTGCAAAAATATACGCATTTCTATTAATATTTATAAAAACAAATAAATTAAAAAATAAAATAATTAATTTTAAAAAGTTGTAACAAATTTTTGATGTAAAATTAATAAGAAATATACCACATATTCTTTTCATTATATTTCTATTGTTACCCGTATTAAACTATGATATTAACATATTGATATCCTTCTATAATAAGGACAAAATTTATATATTCTACATTATTATTTAATTAAATTTAGACTTTATTTTGAAAATTTACACTTTATTAAATATATTGTACATTTCTTAAATAAAAGTTAAATGAATTTGAAAATTAACACAATCATAAGATATTAATAATAAGAATAATAGTTATAATATAATCAATAACAACTTATCAGTTGATTGATTTTTTTTTTCTCTAATGTATATATGTATCTTTTTAATATTCTCTTTGATTCAGGCTTGGAATATTATTTTTTTAATTCTTATTGAGATATTTTCAATTATTGATTCAATGTGACTTTTTCAATCATTTACCCAACATGGTATCAACTATTTTCTAATTAACATTACTGTTTATGCTGTACTATAGATAGGAACTATTTCTCAATTAGTGTTTATAAACTTTTGTCCACACTGATACCATGAGTTTTTTTTTTAATATCAACCATATCATATCAATTAAAACTCGTCATTATTATTATTATTATTTTTCTATATCTACTTGATTGCAAGATTGAAATTGAGTTTTGTATTTGACATTTTTATATTCAATAATGATTTAAATACTTTATAAAAAAAATTAAAATTATCTTATCAAAATGAATTTTTTAAAAATAATTCAAAACAAAAGTAACCCAAAATCCATAAATTTTAAATTTCTTCATATGTTAAATTCCTTATTTATTACTCTTAAAACTCACAGTTAATAGCTCACTCAACCATTCAAAAATTGTTCATGTTTCAATATCGGGTTAAAACTAATTTAAACATTTAAATTACATTCAATGATTTTAAATTAATCCAATTTAAATAAACCTAAGAACAATCACGCACTGAATACCCCAATGTACTCTTTATTGAAGATGTATTTACAATCAGTGGAATTGGATGCAGAATCTATTGGTACTAACTAGTAAATGAGCCCTTTATATTTGGCTTTCCCTAATTTTATGTCTGTCACACTTATCTCATTTATCCAGACTAAGAAGAACAAGGAGAATCTGGTCTAGATTACATCATGAATTTAAACCAGTAAACCATGAGCCAAAGAATTCTACATACCATGGAACTACCATGCTTATTGTACACCTAAAACTACAGTAAATCTAGAGCCTTTTTCAGTCCTTTCAGAAGATCAGTTAGATGCAATGTACAAGATCAGTTAGATGCAATGCGCAGACCCTTGTGCCACCGATCCTTGGTTGAAACTCTATTGATAAAATAATAAAAAAAAAAGAAATAGATTAGTTCATTTTCAATCCAATACTGTTATTTTAAGACTAGCAAATTTAGAATTCAGCATAACCATAACTGTATTGAAGGAAGTACTTACATATGATGATATCCGGTGCTATAGTTACTCCTTGCAAGTAGACTTGTTATGTCCAAGTCCCTTGCATCGGCTGCAATGGAGATGGCGCTTGACTACTTCTTGAGGTCCAAATCGCTTTGTAGCTGGTCGACCAGGAGGTCTTTTGGTGGGAGGAGGTGTTACTGTTACCACAAGCTGAGAATCTTTGGAAGCAGACAATTCCACATCAGAAATTGGATGCACAATCTCCGAATACGTCAACCTGTAGCTCTCAGTTGTACAGTATCTGGAGCAATAATCATAAATACTTTGGCCAATGCCAACAATTACGGCAATGGCGTGACAACATGGCACACCAGTCAGTTGCCAGGCTTTACAACTACATTCCCACCTGTCAATATCAACCACCTCAGTTGTGTCACCACATACCTCATAGGTGCTACATGTTGATTGCAGAACTGAAAGTGAATGATTTTTTTGACTTTCTTTTTTAAGCTTATTTTCCATGGACGGACTCAGCCTAGTTTCCCATTGTTCCGATGCAGTCTTTCTGGCAACTATCAACTCCATAATCTTTCCCCTAATTACATCGACCATCTGTGTTATCGGCAATTCATCTGCATCAGATACCCAACTATAAAAGAGCTCCCCAAAGTTGGATGTCATGTGATTATATCTAGTACCCTGAAAAAATGAATTTGCCCAGTTCTGAGGTTCACTTTGAATAATCCAATTGTAAGCTTCTTCAGAAATCTTTTTAATGCTCTCCATTGAGTTGTGAAAACCTTCTGGTTTGGTGGCATAAGCAGCAGCATATAAATCCTCAATCATGAGTCGCTTTACCTCATGAGAAAACTGTCCTTTCAAGTCTCTAAAAAGTTGCTCACTCAAGTATCTCAGGCAGTATGCATGAAATGAACCTTCAAATATCTCAGCAATTGAAGTTTTCAGCCCCTTCTCTCTGTCAGCGACAAATGTTATGGGACAAGATGTTGAAAGCACTGATTTGAGTTGAAGTAAGAACCAATGCCAGCTATCATCACATTCTGCATCATCAACAATGGCAAAGGCAACAGGATACACACCATCATCAGCATCTGCAGAAGTTGCTGCTAACAGTGTTCCTTGGTATTTTGACCTCAATGGAATGCTATCAAGGAAAATCAGTGGTCGGCAACCTTGTTGGAAGCCATGCAACAAAGCATGAAGTGATACAAAGAGACGATCGAAGCTTGAGTCTTCCTTTGTTGTGCACATGGCAAGACTACCAGGATTAGCCTCCATTAACTTTTCACAGAAGAAAGGTAACTGACTGTATGCCTCTTTATAAGAACCCTGAAGCTGCTCTTTAGCAATCTCTTTCCCACGCCATGCTTGAAAATAGTTCAGTTGAATTCCATATTCCTGTTTGATGTCATTGACAATGTCCTTAGGTTTGTAATCCGGAAAATCTTTCAACTTCTCCTTTATAATACTGGCCACCCAACTTCTAGTTGCTTGATGCCCCGTTGTTGCAAAAGCCCCATCACAGGTATGAGTTGAATTCATTTTCTTTATACATATCAACTGAGTGGTTGACAACCTTGATGCATGAATTCTCCAAGGACAACCATCTGCTTTGCATTTAACAGTTACTCGATGACTATCATTTTTCTTATATTTGAAAGCAAATTGATGAGCAATGGCATATTTACGCAAGGATTCTCGAAATTCATGTACACTACTGAACCTTTGACCCACCCCTGTTATAGTATTCTGCCACTGCTGTGCTCCCTTGGCATACTTCTCTTCGATTGAGGATTGAAGAGGAAGAGAGGGAGAAATTTCCGGTAGCATGTCCATATCCATATTTGTATCAATTTGATTGGTATCATGATCAAGCACAGTATCAACAATATGACTATGACAAGCATTGAGTGGTGCTGGTGCTACTGTTTCAGACAAGGTTGTTCTGCTTGACCTAAAAAGTTCAAAAATTCCAAAATTAAGCTCTAGAATGTTCTACAAAATAACATAGATAGAGATATTATTAGCACAGAAAGAAAGATAACTACCTACTGCCAGGCATGTTTGATACCTCAAGGGCAACTACCTCTTCAAAAAGGATATAAATATCAACAGTAGAAGAACTCCCATGAAATTTAATCATTCGCTTCAGATCCTTGTCATTAGATACAGTAATGAGAGTCTTCTTATTCCCAGGTAGGAAATACTTGATTGACATGCTATCAGTTCTAATATTAAACATTTCGGCCACTTCCACCTTGAACTCGGCAAACTTCATTTCATCATCAATGTCTATAGCATGAGCATCACCACCTTTATATGACAAACAACCGTCTTTCTCAGTCAAAAACTTGCCTCCGGACTGACATATTGCAATGAGCTTCATGGCAGCCATGACCTAACACTGAAACAGAGAATTCTTATCATCAAGATGACACTTATAAAGAATGTTCCAGTAATAACAGCAACACAGAAAGAAAAGTGTAAAGAACTAATTAGTTCTATCTTTTTACTGATGTTAGAAAAAAAAAAACACAAATTTCAATACTTTTAGGATTGTGAATGGCTAATTAGAATATTTATAGTACTAAGATGACATTCCATTCCTTCAAGAATAAAAATATGGCATTGAGACATAATATAGTTTCATTAACCCTAATTAGAGACTCTTAACCTGAAGGAGAACTTGCTGTTTTTCCATTTAAATTCAGAACAGGTATGATCATCAATCAAAGTGTAACCCTAAGATCAGAGGAAACACAAATGAAAGAATATTACAAATATACCTGTCTGATTACTAGAGAAGGTGAATTAGGGTTTCTAATAACAAAGACGATGGATTACACGGAAGCACGCTTCTCTCAGTTGGTGGGTGCAGCATCAGCGAGAGTGCTGTCACATTTGATTTCTCTTTGAAAGTGAATGGAAAAAGAAGAAAAGGAAAATCAAAATATGAATTTGTTGTTGTTTATTGAAAGCAATGTCATGTCCTACTCCTGCTTCCCAAACAAATCTTGTGATTTAAAGCTTTTAGGGCTGGACGAAACTGGGCTTGCACAGACGTGTCCATCTATATTGTAATCTCTCATCCTTCTTTCATATCATGTACTCTCTCCTTTTTACCCT